TACAATAGCCAGAAATTTGGGGGTTTATGGTAATCACAGAGGGAAAAAAAGAAGAAGAAAAACGAAAACTCGGTACATCATCAGTCTCTCTGAGTATCGGAATTCACAACTCGCCATCGCTCCCTTATTTCTCTACATCTGCACCCCTCGTTTTCTCTGCTTTGTGCCCTATCTCTCTCTCTCTCCACTCTTCAAATTGCTTTGAAGTGGCGGTATGTTCGTGCATTTAATCCATGAGCTACTACCTTTTCTCAATGCACATTGTCTGTTTTCAGCTGTATATGTTGTCGTTTTGCTCGAATCAAAAGCACAATTTCCAATTTTTGCCTTTTTAATTCGAGTCAAGTACATATTTTTCTCAGTTAATCTGCGAGTTCCTAGATTCTTTCGCTTTTTTGAGACAATCACTTTCACCATTTTTTTGGGTTTTAGATTCAAGTCGATTTTCTACTCAGTTAAGTTGTGAGATTCTACATTCTTCCTATTTTATGGATTCAAACACTAGCACCAGTCGATTTTTTTTTCTCGGTTAGGCTGCGAACTCCTACAACCTTTCTCTTTATAACGTTTGGTTTTCTGCATTGAAGCCGATTTTTTTAGTCAAGTTGCGAACTTATGGATTCTTTCTAGGGTGGGTTCGTCAGACTCTTGTTATTTTTGGTTTAAATTTTTTTTAAGGGGTTTTAGGTCTATGAGTTTCGACTACATTGTGCATGTTTGATTTACAACCACATTTTTTCTGCAACTTTGGGTTACAACACGCATGCACACCACCTGCTTGGTTGCTGAGTATTTTAAAGTAAAGAAAATGAAAGAAAAATTTGAAATTTATGTTTTATGATACAGGCCCCCCCCCAAAATTGCAGAGGAAGAAGGAGTTACATAAAGTAAGCCTAGTTGACGTAATGGGTCTGATTGGGTAAAGGTTAGTGTATCTTTCTCCCCACATACTTTTTTTTTTTTAAAGTCAATCAGAGAGCTTGTGTTTTGCACTATGCAGCTCTAATGTGTTAGTTTATAGTGTTCTGAAGTAGAAACAAAGGCAGCCCTTAATGGGTTGTCTTTCTGAGAAATTTTAAGTTTCTTGATTTTGGCTTCTTGCTAGTTTTTCTCAAATATGCAGCCATAAATGTTGGATTCTACTTCTAATGGTCATTTTTTGTTGTTTAGGTAATTTCAGGTTTTGACGGTTTGAGCTATTGGAGGAGGGCACTTTGTTTGTCAAGATTGCAAGCAACTCAGGTTTTTCTTTTCTTGCTTGCCTCGGTGTTTGAACTTTATGCAATGGAATTTGCTTCATATAATTTATATCCTTAAAGAATGTGGTTGCCAATTTGTCTATTTATGCAAAGGTAGTGGCTAGTTTCTTATTATTTTTGAGAAAACAGAAGGGAGTGAATTGTAGTACACGGATGATTAGTAGTACTAACAATGCGAATGCGTTTATAGATTGCTAGGAAGTTGACGCATTGAAAGAAGTGAGAGCATCCAATGAAAAAAGAATTCTGTTTGATATACCAATTTTTCAAGTATTCACGTGGTGCAGTTGCTATGGTAATTGTTCACATGGGCAGAAATAGTATCTTGGCTTCTTCAGATGCATAAAAGGGACCCGTGTTGTTCTTGATTGTATTATGTTTAATTCTTAACTGCATCCATTTTACAGGTTCATATTTTCTTTTCAATTTCATTGTTTGGGGGTAAAACAAAAGATTAGAACTTCGAAGATTGTGTGGTAGTTTATGTACTTTTTAACTTGTGTGGTATGCACTCATTTGTTGTTGGGCTTTGATTTGGTATTGGGCAGCATGGATGGATTGGACTGGTGCAATTGAGGTTAAGTAATGGCATGCTGGGTTCATAGTTTATTTGTTTACTTGAACAGGGTGATCAGTTTTTTACACAGCATAGTTTTCATTATTTTAATTCAGGTAGGATCGTGAATGCCTGTTGGACATAATGCTTATTGCTGGATTATTGGATCCATTTTACATGTCAGTCAACTTGGTCTTAGTGAGTGGTATTGGGTGTCCTGGAATTTTTAAATTTAAGTATTAAAATTTCTCAAAATATAGTTTTTGATATTTGAGAAGAGAAAGAAAGATATAACCATTTTCAATAACATAGCATGATCCAAGGGGTCATTGGTACAATATACTGCATATACCTGATGACAAATATGATGTTATTTTATTCAGTTATTTATACTTTTTAACTTTAATACAAATTTCCATTATTATTGTGACGCCTTTAAAACCGGGAGTCCTTTCTCAACCCGTTGATCACCTATCAATCGATAGAAGTATTTGTGCATATCGCATAACCCGACACCATAGCATCACACGGCCATTCTAAGGTCCAATATCTATCAATTTACCATCAATATTATCCTATTTACATCTTTTGAACAAAAAGGCTCAAGGCCTGAAGGCTTGACAAAGTTATTTTAAATTTTTGAAAATTTCAGTAGCTCGTATACTTGGTACCGCTAACTGATGTCAGTGAGCTACTGGTAGTTGTGAACCTAACTACCAGTAGTTGAGCCCACTACGAGCGAGCTACCAGTAGTTGTGAACCTAGCTACCAGTAGCTACCCACTGAAATCGTGCTACCGGTAGCTAATCATCGTGCTACCAATAGCAGGGTCCAATTTTTCCCCAATTAAGTTCTTTTTCAATTTTAACTCACTCAATCTCATACATCATTTACCCAAATTGATATAGTATCTAATTTTATACAAAATATAGTCTATATGAGTTCATTAGACAATCTTTTATACAACATCACAAGTCTAAAACCATTGGCACCTGTCCTGCACCTGAAATATTGTTGTTATAAAGTAACGCTCAATATGGTATCTCCTAAAGAGACTATTCTTTAACCTAGATGCATATGAAATGCTCACATGCAATTCAACACAAACATATATCCATTCAAAAACATACAACTTCAAGAAGTAAATGTCACAATGCTATGCCATGTTATGAAGTGAGAATAACACATGCAATGCAATCCGAGCCCTCCGCCAACTTCTACAACACATGCAATGCCATGCGTATGCATTCGGTCATTCCAAATCCCCGTCATTGATGTTATGCAATCAATGACTATTTTTATAAGATGAACCATGTGTCTTTCTTGAGTAGGTGATTTCCCGGATTTGCACCAACAACCCACCACACCAACACTGATTTTGGTATTCCACCTTCGATTCCACATACACCAATATACTTTTTTAGACTTTTACCGTCAGAAGAATATAAACTAGTAACTAGGTCTTGCATTCGAGGGAGGGTCTAGCTTTCTTGTTATATCCGATACAAGTTTTTCATACAACCCGTACAACTTAGTCGGATTTAGGTCTAACCTTTCCGAGTCCATACCTTAACCACTAAGAATAATGTTTGATCCAAAACATGCATACACACCTACACTCATGTCAGAAGTATATAAACTAGTAACTAGGTCTTGCATTCGAGGGAGGGTCTAGCTTTTCTTGTTATATCCGACACAAGTTTTTCATGCAACCAGTGCAACTTAGTCGGATTTAGGTCTAACCTTTCCGAGTCCATACCTTAACCACTAAGAATGATGTTTGATCCAAAAACATGCATACACACCTACACTCATGTCAGAAGTATATAAACTAGTAACTAGGTCTTGCATTCGAGGGAGGGTCTAGCTTTTCTTGTTATATCCGACACAAGTTTTTCATGCAACCCGTGCAACTTAGTTGGATTTAGGTCTAACCTTTCCGAGTCCACACCTCAACCACTAAGAATGATGTTTGATCCAAAAACATGCATACACACCTACACTCATGTCAAATGCCCACGAATGTGATAAAACGTATGCATATGCAATGTAATGAACAATTGCATATTATATCACTATGCAACCAAGTTTTCAATTGCAATTTCAACATCATGTTCAACATGCAATTTCAACATCATGTGGTGTATGACTGTTGATGCAACAAAAAGAGGCAGTGGTGCAGTGCCCCCTCTTTGTCCATCATGCAGCCAAAGTTCTTTCTTTTTCAACCAACCTCCACCCCACGTCCGTGGGGGAGGGGTGTTTAATTGGTAATTCCTCCTTGTTGTCTACTAAAATGCCGGTGCTCAATAGGTGTTATGGCCACAAAACTGCTAGGCTAGGCTAGAGTAAGGGGTTGGTGTGAGTAAAAGGTAATTCAGATTGCCTTCATTTTCTAGGCCATATTGATATGCCTACATATCTTATCTTGGGTTCGAAATTGATATTAACTCAGGTAAACGCCAGCCATCACTGTTGTGGACTTCCACCTCATTAATTTTATCTACTCCAGGTCTCCTCTTCTTCAGTTTCCATTAGCTTTGAATATATGCACATTCTGTTCTGTTCTCAATTTAGATGCAGAGTTTAGGATTGCTTGATGTCTCATCTTCAGACAAGAAAAATGATCCTATTGCAATTACTTGTTAGCTGTGGGCACTTTGAAACACTTCTATATTGGCATGTGTAACACGTGGTAGCCGGTGAGGAGAAATGTCTCACCCTTTGCATTTTTGTGATGCTTAATAAATTTGAATTGATGCTTGTTTTGATAGAGAAGTAATATCTGACATGCTCTCAAAAGTGGATTGAGGGTTCCAACTTTCTTCTTTTTCTTTGCACTTTTGCTCAAATTTCCTAACTCCAAAAAGGTTAGAGCTCTATGTTCTTGTTGATTGGATGAAATAATTTCAGTTAACTCAAATTGATATGCATGTTGAGGGAATAAGTTGGGCTAAAATTAGGAATTTTTCAGTTTTTGTTAGTTTGAAATTTGTGTCAACAATTGGTCAATTGTTGCAGCAGTTCATACAGTTATATGATTGTATTTACATATTTGCTACTTTCAGTTAGGTATTTGTTCTTCTTTCCATGTTAGTCAAAATTGATATATCTGTGTCGATTTGAACTTGATACAGAGTGTGTTGGACGATTCTGGCCCTTTGAAAAGCCTGCTGGATTAAGCCATGCCGCCGCCCAATCCAAGAGTTGCCAAAGCCTTTCATGCTATGAGGGATCTCGGCATTTCAGAAGAAAAAGTGAAACCGGTGTTGAAAAAACTTCTTAAATTGTATGATAAGAATTGGGAACTGATCGAAGAAGAAAATTATAGAGCTCTTGCTGACAATATATTTGAGACTGAAGAAGCAGAGGTGCTCTTTTTCTGTATCTCTCTCTTTCTCTCTCTCATATCTCTCCCACCTCCTCTTTCATTCTGACTGGCTAGTTTATTTTGTTTTATCACCATTTATGTATCCTCTATTATAACTTTATGACTACTCTTCTCTGATCAGGTGGAGGAACATAAGAAAAAATTGGACAATATTGAGGTATGTTATCTATCCCTTATGTTTGTTCTGATTCTTGATACTGTTCTTACACTTGAATATATCTTCACTGGTTTCTTTTTCATTTGTTTGAAATTGAACTTCAATTGGCCAGCGAGAAAAAAAAGATTTGGAGGATGAAACTCAGGTGCATGATGAGATTGAACGCCCTTTAAAAAGGTTGCGGTTAAGGCACCAAGAAGGACAAGCTTCACCTTCTCTGAGTAACTCTGGCCCCGGCTTTGATGGAACTGCAATAAAGAAACCTAAAGTGGAAGATAATGACCTACCTGAAAGTCGTCCCAAAGATCAGTTACCAAATATAACTGAATCACCTCAGCTTAATACAGGAAATGTGAGGATTGAATCTCAACCCGTGTCGCCCCAGCCACTTGGCAGGAACAAAGGAAAGCAACCTGTTTCGCCCAAGTCTTTGTCTGTGCAAGAAGGATCTGATTCACCACTGATAGGTGCTGCTGACAGAACTCAGGCAGCTGTCATGAAGAGAATTGATTCTAATCCAATCTCTTCTCCGATGCGTCTCAGAGACAGGGGAAAGGGACCTCTCTCACCTCAAATTAATTCCAGGGAGAAGAGGCCAATTGCTGATAAGTCATCCCATGCAGTGGTCTTTAAAGAGCCAAAGGTTGAGCCTGTTGTTCGTTTACCTAGACAGAAGATGCCTCAAACTCATGCTTTGATCAAGCCTAAAGAGGAGCCATCTACAGATGACGTGCCACAGTTTGAGGTTCCTCTTGCAGTGATCCATCCGGGTACATATTCTCCCGTTGCTGAATTATGATTGTATTATGTTAAACAACCATCTATTTTAAAAGCTGAAACTGTTGGAGATGGTTTGTAATTTAAGTATTTATACTTCAACACGCCTTTTTCACATGTAGGCTAGATTTTGGTTCTAAAAAATCATTTAGTAATTAGGAGGGCGGTGAGATTCGAACACAGGATTTTGCTCTGATACCATGTTAAACAATCACGTACTCTAAAAGTTTAAGCTATTGAAGAAGATGCAATTTAAATATTTGTACTTCAACATATTAGTCTGATAAATATGATTTGTTGCAAGCCTATTTATTAGATGATAAATTATATAGTTTAACTTAAATTTTATTGCATGAACTAAGTCATCGTTGCCTGGTGACGGGGTTAGTAACGGTAGTTCTTGTAGTATAACTGATCTCCCAAAGATTTCTTGGTGCCTCACTTGGGAAATGGGTCTGAAAATATATACAGCTTTGAAATATTGTATCATAATGAGCCTTTTGGAGTCAAGCCTGAACTAAGGATTCCAAGTTCCTACCCGTGAGTGGAGCTCGAGTTTAACGTACTCATTTCATTACAAGCTCAAACTGATCATTGGTTCTCCTCCAGCTCAGTCTAGCCAAGCTTGAGTACTCCATTCATCAGCTTAGCTCTACTTGTTTACACGGCTAGTCCATATGATGGGCTCTTTTCAATTTGTGTGGCAATGGAGTCATCTTTGGTTTTGGTCACTTGAAGTTCTAGGCCATGCTTTCACTCGTAAGATCTGAATTTAGTCATTTAGTGATTGTTGTAGTTGACCAATTAAAATAGGAGGAACATGTTGACACATGTTGATTTGTCTGCTAGAAAGCACGGATAGTATCCGATACAATATGGACATGGGGATACGACAAAGTTTAAAAATATAGGATACGGGTACGATAAGAATACGGCTATTAAAATACTATAATATATTTTTTTAAATAATAATAGAGTTGTAATATATTAAAAGTAAAACATATATTATAACAATATTAATAATAAGACCTAACAAATATTTTTTTTTGATTAAAATTGAAATAGATCAAATTAAATATCTACCATTTTCATCAAATATCATGACATTTATTAACATTTATAGTATATAAGTTACATAACAAAAAAGAAAAATCACACTCCTTTTAATAGTTAAAAGTTGTTTTTTTAATAAAAAAATTTATGTAGGTCGTGTCCGACTAAGTTCACTGTTCAAGACACTTTTAACTGTGTTAAACATGTGTCCGGCCGTTTCCTGGCCATGTCCGTGTCCAACACTGCCACGGCACCCGTGTGGAATTATCCGTGCTTCCTAGTTTGTCAATAGATTTGATTGGTAGTATTCAACCTGTTGATACTTGGAGGACTGTGATATTGAGTTATGTGATATACAAATTTATCTGGCCTCTAATTTCCTATTTTCCCGTTATTATGCACAATAACACATGCGAGAGAGTACTAATTAACGTGCATTAACTTTTGCTAAATATCTTGTGAAGAAGTATTTGTTGAGTATTGAACTGCTCTGCCTGTCTTTCTTTTGCTCAAAAGTCTTTTGTTTCAACTTTTGAGCAGAGTCATTAAATGAAGGAGATTCTTCATTAGAGAATGGTCCACTCAGAGAACAACGTGATCCAGCACCTCTAGCTTCTTTAATTGAAAACAGGGAAGATAGAACTGATGGTGTGCTGGCATCATCAAATGAAACAAGATCCAATTGTGAGCTTGCAACAATCCTTGATGAATCCTCCGCAAGCTTAGAAATTTCTTCTTCACCCGTTGGAGAAGTGAAAATCTCTCTGATTCGTACTTCTGCTGCTGGAAGACCTGACTTCCGTATGCCGAGCTTAGATGCAGTTCTGAAATTGATGGAGGACAAATGCCTGAGACCATACAAAGTCCTCGACCCAAATTTTTCTGTAACAAAAATAATGGAGGATATGTGTGTGTGCACTTGGGAACTAGGGACTGTCTCCAGTAATGAATCGCAAGAAACAGTGATTGAGACACCAACTATGGATTTGATGAAAAAATCTGGTGCAGCAGATGCTTTTGGTGCTGGAGGCATGCCATCTAACCTGTCAAATGGGCCAGTCAATATTCCATGTAACGCTAAGAGGGCTTTGCCTCAAATTCCTAGGCTTCCTCCTCCTTGCAATGGTTTGGATGACCACATACAACCTGATAAGCGTATTAGTAGCAATGATGGTGTATCTGAGTACGAAAAGGATCATGAAGACCTGGTTCATATGAATTCCCAGAGTGTGGTGGTGGTTCAGAAACTTCAGCTTACTCCTAATGATAGAAGGGCTCTCCATGATGCTAATGATATTGCCAAAGGACAAGAAAGAATTTCAATCTCATTGGCTAATGAAGTCAACAGTGAGTGTCCACCATCCTTTCACTACATTCCCCAAAATGTAGTTTTTCAAAATGCTTATGTGAATTTCGCTCTGGCGCGTATTGGAGATAATAATTGTTGTTCTACTTGTTTTGGTGATTGTCTCTCATCATCCACACTGTGTGCATGTGCACATGAGACGGGGGGTGATTTTGTATACACAACGGAAGGCCTTGTCAAGGAGGAATTTCTAGATGAGTGTATTTCTATGAATCGTGATCCTCAAAAGCACTGCCTCTATTATTGTAAGGAATGTCCACTGGAAAGATCAAAAAATGAGGATATTTTAGAACCATGCAAAGGGCATTTAGTGAGGAGGTTCATCAAAGAATGTTGGTGGAAATGTGGCTGCAATAAACAATGTGGCAATCGAGTTGTACAGCGGGGCATAAATTGCAAATTGCAGGTGAGATTTTGTGGTATGCTTTTCAACTTTAAGGATCATCTACACAGATTTCTGAACTAATATTCACCTAATGATTTTTATGATTACTTCTGTCCTTTTTTTTTTGGTATTTTCTAGGTGTTCATGACACCTGGAGGAAAGGGTTGGGGTCTTCGTACTCTAGAGGAGCTACCAAAAGGGGCATTTGTCTGTGAATATGTTGGAGAAGTGTTGACCAATTCAGAGCTGTATGATCGAGTTTCACGAAGCCCCAGTAGTGAGGCACACTCGTATCCTGTATTGCTTGATGCTGATTGGTGTTCAGAAGGAGTCTTAAAAGACGAAGAAGCTCTCTGTTTGGATGCAACATATTATGGGAATGTTGCAAGGTTCATTAATCACAGGTTAGTTGGTACACACAGAAGCACATGCATGCAGGTTTCCATGTGCCATACACTAGTTATCATCAGACATTCTTTTGAAGCTTTCCTGCTGGTTTTTCCAGTTGTTCAATAATATTGTGGGTTATTTATGCGTAAGTCTTCAAAATTAATTTCCACACTTGCAGTTATCTTGGTATTGTTAAAATCATGCTTGCTTACCTTCTCTCCATATTATCACAAATATCTCAGTTTCTCTCTAGTTTTGATCATAGGCTTTTGTTTTTTAATTCTAGAGAGATGCTATTACCTATCCAAGTGTCACTAAAAGATTAAAGATGTTATTGTCGAGAAGAAACTCAAGGGGGAGGAACCCTCCTCCCTTTCTCAGGGCAGTGTTAGAGGGCCCAAAATAGTTGATTTAGTAAATAATAAGGGAGGGGAGTATAAGAATAGGGAATAACCCAAGCAAGCGAAACTTATGGGACCAAAATGAATGATTTAATTTTGGTTTGTTCTGCCCTTGGGATAATACATCAACACTGATAATAGAACAGTTGAGGACTACGGTTAGTTGCTGACTGTCTGGCTCTCTGTACAAATTGTGATACGTTTGTTCTGCCCTTCGGACTTGCAGTTCAGGGAGTTTTGTGAAAATGTGGTAAGGTGCAGTGCAGATATTATCAGTGTTGATGTGTTACTCTGTTATCTCATTGCCATTGATGTTACAATGACGACAAGATGTTGAAAGAGTGACTCAGCAGTTCAACTTGCCTTATTATCTTTTCTTTTAAGGGAAACTTGACTTGACAGACAATTATTAGCTATAATATTCTCTCATGCATGCATGTCATGCATCTGCCCTTCCAATTGGATTGTTTAGTGTCATTTTGTTTGTATCCATTGAAATACCTTCCCCGACTCGTCATTGGGGTTTTAACCTTGGAAAATTCCATGTCTTGTTTTGTTAGATGCTTTGATTCAAACTTGGTTGAGATCCCTGTAGAGGTGGAGACCCCTGATCACCACTATTATCACGTATGGAATCTCATGTACTTCGTTGAATGCTTTAACTTTGTCTATTTAATTTGGTAATCACTCAGAGTAGCAAATCTTGTGTTTTGTTCATGCAGCTTGCTTTCTTCACTACAAGAAAGGTAGAAGCCTTGGAGGAGCTCACTTGGGTAAGTAGGTTAGGGATTTATTAGATTATTCTTCAAGGTTATGGACGTGAGAGCTTACATAGATAGTTTGTGATGGCTTGTGTAAGGTTGGACCAAGGAGGCGTGCATGTGGTTGTGCCAATAACCATGCCAGGTTTATTTGGCGGTTTATAACAATTCAGTCATTCTGTCCGATGTTCTGTTGAATCTCTCTTCACATAAAATGCATAGAGTTAATTCGAAATAAAGATAATTGAGATAGAAACATGTCTGATTTTGGGTGGTGGTGTGGCAAAATGATATTATTCACAACTTATACGTGTCACCTGGATTGTGCTTCGAAATGGAATGCACATCAGGTTAAGGGAACCATTGGGTGAATCTGATTGAACTCTGGATAGCAGTTAAGTTTTCAATCCATTAGGT